CGTAGAATTTTTAAGGGATGTAAGCTCAACAGCAAAGTTTAGAATGCGGCAGTTGATAAGGATTGCAGTCTCCGCGAACTGGTTGAAGGAGTATGGATCTTTGTAGTAATACAATGGGCTCTTTGTTGGGCCCAGGTGCGCTGGATTAACTCTAAGCCCAGAAGCCACTTCAACTTACCCATTTAGAGCTTTGATAGAGTTCGAATTTTTAATAAACAAATTTTAATTTGAAACCTTAAAAAACACTCACTCCATTATAATTTTAAATATCTTTTAGGATATAGACCGCCGTTTTCTTTGTTATTTGGCTATGACTGCAGCTGTATGTATTCATACGTTTAAAAAAAAATTAGTTTCAAGAAGGAAAAATTTACCTTCGGCAAAAGAAAAAACCATATACCGAAAACATTATGAACCGAGTATTGTAAAAAAAATTAAGATAAGCTTTTATTAGTGGTTAGAAAAAATATTTTCCCTCGCACCACCTGACGACTAAATTTTTTTTTGTGGGGTTATTCTTTCCATTTCAGTAATATAGTAGGTTCTAGATATGAAACAAATCGGACCATAGATACGCACTTTTGAAATATCTCTACAGCTGCGCCACCTATCGGGAAAATTATATATAGTTATTCGTATTCGTCGTTAAGATTTTGGGAACTTTGGTTTGCACATCTGAAGATGTGTAGTTTTAGCTTAAGAATACTTATAAACAAACCGATTGAATGACACACACATACACATACATACTCCATAAATATGTAAAATAATTATTTTATTGACACTTAATTTAGAAAGTAAAGTAGAAACCCCCAAATCGAGCTAACATATTTATACATACATGTATGTATGTATGTACATATTTTAAGACGACAGCTGGCCTATTGGACAATTTAAAAACGAGCTTCATTTACATATAATCTTGAAATTCGAAAAGAAAAAGCCCTTGGGCTATAATTAGCAACATACATACATGCATACATACATATATACATATGTATGTTTCTTTTCGTCATTAGATTTATTCATTGATGTTGCCATTTAATCGATATGTATCTATGTAAGTATGTACTTATGTATATGTAATCAAGATTGACACAAATTAATAGCATGCATAAATTTGTATATCGGAGAAGATGACTCTTCTGTCGCACATACATTGATGTAATTCAAAGAAAGAACCCGCAAGAATCACGCAAATGCCAAATATGTATGTATGTATTTATAAAAAAATGCTGATAGCTGGTCCAACCAGACTATAACTAACCATGTAAATATGTATGCGCATAAAAATGTATGCAAATCTTCGAATTTGTAATAAGATAGATATATACATACATATTTAGGATGTATGTATGTATATATATATATATATATATATATATACCAAATGTGAATAAATATTTGTGTACGGTGGCGAAAATATAAATAAGGGCGCGACATTTTAACAAGTTTAGCTATTTGTCTTTCGATTATTAACTGTTTATTATTTTTCGTTGAAAGTATAGCTCGTAATCGAACAAAAGCCATGTACATAAGTGCGAATTTCAAACTTTGTGCCAAAACAAGTAATCTTTAAGCAAAAAACACAACCGACTTCAATGCTCATATTAAAATTTAGGAGTACCATTAATTTCCTCATCACCCAAAGAACGGAACTATTTAAATCAAATTAGTATGGTGCCACGTTGAGGTTCCGCCTTTTCGACAAAAAAAAAACAAGAGTTACCGAAAACGGTTCACCAGCTGATTGCATTTTTACGCATATTTTTGCGGTTGCCTATAGCCTCTTTTCAAATACTTTTTGCATACATACATATACGCGTTTATTTACATAAATCCTTACCTAAAGGGGAAAGGTGCCAATTCCATTTTTTTGAAATCATTCAGGATCATCTTTTATACTGCATCTAAAACTAAATTTGGAAAAACGTGGACTTGGAACGGTTTCACCTTTAGGTAGCGAAATGTTTTTTTCTATTTTGAAATGCTTTTTATTATTTCATTTCATTTATTTTAAAACAAAATTAGTGCAATATTATCCCAAAAAATTGTTTAGTACAACGGTAACTTAAAATTAAGATATGAATAAGAGTTGAGAATAAAAAGTACGTAGTACATCATGTCAAACATAGCCTGACAAATAGCATTAGGCAGAACTTATAAATCTGTATAAAACCAAAAGAGGAACAAAAAAAAATAAATAAAAAATAAGTAAATAAATAAATTAAAATTAAAAAAGATAAAGAACGAAATTTATTTAGCCGGTTGCGAATATGTCCTAGAGCCGAGCTCCAGGTGCGAATGGCATTGACGAAAAATATTCTTGCAGATGTAGATAATTGTAATTGGGTATGATCAGGTCAGTAAGGCGCGCAGACTTTGAGAAGATAATTTTTCGTATAGATTATAGATATCTAGAATCTTTATCCATCATTAGGCGAAATCAAAAAAAAAAATACAATTTATTGCTTTTACATATTCGGAGGCAACAGGCAAAGGGTGAGAAAATTTTGTGTTCGTTTCTTAAAATGTTACACTCTTGTGAGGCAAAAAAGACACATTCTCTGCCCTTTGAAGCTTTGTCAGAGGAGATGGTTGCACTGCAAATCAGATGGTTGTTTAAACCGACAATATTATGAAATGCCTTTTACAGGCTTAAGTGTAACGTCAAACACATTTTGCACCTGGGAAGGGCAACATTTTTTGGAAGAAACGAAATCACCATAAACCTTTTATGTATTGTGAGGAGGTACTTTGCCTTGTTCGCGTTCACCGCCCGACCAACAACTTTCGCATCCTTTATTAAGCTGCCATCCCTGGGTTTCAGGCCAACGATGGCAATATCATCTGCGAAACTGAATCGCCTTACCGGCATATTAGTTATGCGGGGATGGCAAGCGGCTTTAAAATATACAAAAATGTGGCGAGTGCTGATTTTCGTATCAAGTGTCTTCTCCGGAATTTGACGTGGCCAATGGTGGAGTTACCAGGTCTGAAGCCACACGAATTAGGTCCAATCAATTGGTTCGTGATGAAAGTTTCAGTCTTTCGCACAGTATCGCACTGCACACACACACCGATTACAAACGATTGACCAAGTCTCTTAAATATCAATTTTCTTCTGCCTGTGGTTATCTAACACCAATAAGCGTTTGGACTTAAACGAAACGTTCAAAAAGTAATTAGTTACAGCAGCTACTACCGACAATAGCCACAGTCACAATTTCTTAAAATGGGTAACGCAGGTGAGCTCCCAAATTTTAATATACTATATGTACAGTCAAACTTCGCTATAACGAATCCCCCCCAAAAAAAAAAAAACGAAAAATTACTTCGTTATATAGAAAAGAGAAAATAAATTGAGAACGAAAAATAACACTGAAGATGGCACAACGCCGAAACCGGTTTGTCTCCAAACCAAATTTGACAAGGGATGACGGAAAATCGTTCCACATTACATCACACTCCTACCCTGTCGGAAATACCAATAACAAAAATGAGAGAAAATAAATTGCATTCTGTAAAACTTTTCTTTGAAAAGTGATCACTGATCAGTTATTTTAGTTTGAACGAAACTTTTCCTATCTTGCTCTTCAAAAAAAAATGTCTAATAAGCACTTTAAGAGAAGCGAATACAGTGTTTCTTACTTTTTTTCGTTTCCAACGCTTTTTGCGTTTAAAACTTGCGTATAAACTACAGGGAGGAATCCAAATGGCTAGGTAATGTCCTTTTTTGAAACTTTTGCCCTTTCAACTGTTTTACGAGCAACAGATTTTTCCACGGAAACACTTATAAGCGGAGCCATTTCTTAACTGATTATTGCGGCATACGAAAATAAAGCAATAGGTGCTGCCAAAATATGAGCGATGACACATTTTCGATATTTTCAAAATTTTGCAATTTCACCGAACACAGTATACCTACTTTTTGGTAGGTTTGGATAAATGGATATTGAAAATGCTTTAACTTTCAAATTAAGGCTGCAAAAATTGTTAAGTTATAAAGAAAAATTCGCTATAAGGAAAACAAAATACACTAAAAAATGAGGATGATTCGCAATAGAGAAGCCTCGCTTATGCAGAGGTTCGTTATAGAGATGTTTGACTGTGCTATGTATGTACATACATACATACATACATAAATACATGTCCAACAAGTTGGCACTTCTCGTTTTATGTTCGCATGCATATTTCGGTTCATTTTCTTTGTCTTTTTCTCAACTATTATTACTCAGGTCAATTCAAAAGCCACCAAATATGCCACAAAATAACATTTCACATATTCGTATTCGTTTGTATGTACATTTGTATGTATGTATGTAGCTGGTTCAGTCGCAAGTTGTTGGCGTACAAAATTGTTCGTGCAACTCAAAAGCACGAAATAGAAATTTCATAGCAAACAGTAGAGCGATCGAGCACCAATTGCAGAAAGCTGCTGCAATGCAGTGAAGCATGCGCATGCGCCGCATTGCAATAGCTGCAGCCGAATGCAGTTGCATAAAAATCAAAAAGACTACACTAAGCTGAACTTTTGAATGTTTGTTTGTGGATTTTGTGAATGGTTGCATGTTTTCAACAGAGTTTTTATTTTTTTACATACGTTTGTAAATGTAAATGTCCTGTGTAACTATTGTTGCATAAGAAAATAACTGCTTTCGGTTAATATTTATTTTTGCTCTTTTTTGAGTGTAGATATACATTTACATTCATAGAAACACACACGCATATCTGTATGCACTTAGTAGATACTTATGGTAAAAGAATGGGTGGTTTTTCATTCAAATCGTGTAACTCCAGGCCGGAATCGTGTTCATTGTAGAAAATATTTTTTTTTTTTTTGAAATTACACTTTGTATTATTACCATTTTTAAGTGAATAAATTCGCATATTTATTTGTTTAATTAAAACTGGTTCAAAGTTTTTTACAAAATTATTTTTTTTTAATAATTAATTTTAAAGCAAATGAGTTTTTCTTGTTTTTGTCCACTGCTACATACCTCTTCTTTCTTAAATTAAACTATTTTTTTTTTTTAATCCAATATTTTTAAAGGCTTTAGGTTTCACACTAGCGTTTAGCTTTCCATTATCCTTTTTAGCGGCCAAAAGAAATTATCCGAATCATGTGGTTCGATTTAAATAAAACTAACGAAACGACTGTGTCGCCCGACTGCCAAGCGCGGAATAAACTGTGGCTACTACGCAAACGTGTAGATAGATGGCAGTAAACCCCCGCCGCAGAAAAGTACCAAAGCAGCAAAGCAATTTCTCGACAGCAATGCAGCATTTACATAGCTCTCATATAAGTTTAAGTTTAGTTGTGTGTACGCAGCCGCAGCAAACATCCCTCTTGGAAAATGAAGAATGCTTTCAACTGGATGTGGAAACTCCGAAAGATCATCTATCACAATTTACCGTTTGGCTGAACGAAATTTTAAATGATAACAAAAAAAAAAATAAAAATATTGGTAATTTTTGTTCGCCCTAATGAACATTTTTGAGTAAATTGAAGTCTGGAACATGAAAAACAAGTAATTTTTAAGCAAAAAAAACAAAACCAACTTCAATTCCCATATAAAAATTTAAGATTATCGTTAATATCTTCATGATCCAATCATCCGATTTAAACCAGATTAGTATGGGACCACCCCTGAGGTACCACCTTTCCGATAAAAAGAGTTATCGAAATCGGTTAACGTGGTACAAAGGTATGCGGAAAACATACATAAAAACAAAAAAAAATATTCCAACGAATTGATTACCTTTATTTTTTTATTTTTAAAAAATTTAAATTATTTTTGAAAATCGCCCAGTTGTAAAAAAAATCGAGGCGGCGTTACCCAATTTAAGTTATTTGGTAGAAGGGATTTTATAACACAAATTTGGGATTATATATAAAAAGTTGTAATAACATTTACCTTTTAAAAATAATTCAAATCTTATCTTAAACATTTTACATTAAATCCGACAACTACCTCGCAAAAACTTTATATTTAGGTTAATAAAATTTGAGTGAACATATTTGTCTTAAAGTCTTAAAATTGTTCAATATAAAGTAATAAGAGCCAATAATATATTTCCTACTAGTTTAAAAAAAAAATTAAATATAAAATGGTATTAGCCATTATTTAACGTTTAAAAATGTTAGGACTTTAACACATTATGACGCTTAATACGTCTTGTGAGTCCCCCATATGTTTTTGACTATTTAACTACATATATCGTTGTTTATTTGGGCTAAATAAAAAAAAAAAAATTGTTTAACAAAATTTATGATTTATTGTTAGTATGCAAATGAGACTACAATTATCAGCTTATTGAACATTAGCCTTATCTCTTTCAAAGCAAAAACAAAACACAATAGGGATATTCTCTGAGTTTTAAAAAGCGGTTTGCAAAGCTGTCCCATATGAAAACCGGTTTTTATAGTTTTAATATGACATGTCTAGACTTTTATAGGATCTTTGCAAAGCATAGGTTTTATAGCTATAAAAGGTGTCTGGACACACAACATTGTAATTTGTTAAAAGCGTTGTAAAATAATAATAAAAAAAATATAGCTCATTCTACGTGTACGTGTGTGTGGCCCACTCAATTCATAAATTGAATGGGCGAAAAACCTGCATGCCCAAACAAATTCTAAATATATAAATTAAAATAAAACTTATTAATATACCACGCTTTTATAAATGGACTAAAAAGTAGAAAATAATATTTCTCAGTCCCATAGAATTCGTTTTGATAACTTTTGATTTTGAGATTTTAGCAAAAGTCATTAAATATGAAAAGCGTGTGGCGCATGTAATAGACTTGAATTGATATGAAAAGTCTATTACATGCGAATTTTCGTCTTTTGAAGTACATTTTTCGGTTTCTGAAGTACATTTTACGGTTTCTGAGGTACAATTGACTATTGTGAAGTACATTTTACGGTTTCTGAAGTAAAATTGGCTATTCTGAAGTACATTTTACGGTTTCTGAAATACATTTGACGCTTTCTGAAGTACATTTTACGATTTCTGAAGTGCATTTTACGGTTTCTGAAGTACAATTAACCATTCTGAAGTACATTTTACGTTTCCTGAAGTACTGTTGACTATTCTGAAGTACATTTTACAATTTCTGAAATACATTTGACGCTTTCTGAAGTACTCTTGGAAAAGGTGTAGCCCTTAGAAATTTTTTTTCTGGGCTGTGCGTTAAATCTTCGCAAATTTTATCCCTACCGACACCGAAGATATTTTCATCCAACTTCACTGACTTTAAATTTTTTTTTTACTTTTTCAAGAAACAAAAATTTTACTGCTAGTGAATCTGGTAGCGTGATTTTAGTCAAATGTCATAAACTTGTTAAAAGTCAAGTGGTCAGCAACAACAACGAATGTCAATAAATGAAACTACCTTCTATTTTACCTACCTTTTATTAGCTCGGGATGTAACTATGTAATATTGATGCGCCTAAAAGATGCAGCGAATTATATTATCAAGTTACATACCTGACACCTTATAATAGCGAGGTTTTAGTTTTTTAAACTATATTTTTTTTTTGTATCATTCTTTCTACAATGAAGATAAATTAATATTTCATATCAATAATTGCATGAAAAATTATATTTCTTGTCCTCATTTGATTAAAAAGCAAAAATATTTAACATAATTTTTTTTTATTTGCAACAGCTGACGACCGACGCATGCGATCTTTCTGCATTCTGTTGTCGTTGAAACTCGATGCCAACGCAACGCCAAAGTTGTAGGTATGCGGACCGGCGGATTTACATATACATACATACATATGTATGTACATACATATGTCCTTGAACAACAATCCACAAATACATTTTTTCACCAAGGATTATATTTCGTTTAGGTATACAGCATAGCTCATAGCAAACTATTTTGGAGGTGTTAAAAAGTGCTTAGTTGTATTTTGTTTGTGCGGCACAAACAATTATACTATCCTCTTTATTTATCTGTGCAAGTTTCCATGTTTTTTTCTTTAAATAATGTATTATAGAATAGGGATTGATATTCAATGTAAACGATTCAAAAATCTGATCGAGAAGTAATAAATATTTCTATTTGTTTATAAAAACTTTTTTAAAAAATTAAAAATTGTATAATGATTATTTCAAAAATTGAAACAATCACGCTAAAGCGTGTCTAATTAACTGTTATCCTGAAAAAAATCAGCAAGATACATGCTATGAATCAGTGGATAATAAAGAATTACTGAATTCATAAAAAAAAATTAATAACAATAAATCTTGTAAAACTTCGAATCTTGCAAAATTAATCAATTATTTATTTTTGTTTTTTTATGGATGTAAGCCGAATAGTGATTTATGCGAAAAAATCTTGATCAATTTTGGGTGGCCCACTTGAGAGATTTTCACTCATATTAGAACTGTTTTTGTGGACAACGATGTTACCATAACTTGAAGCTGAAGCAATTGTGGCAAATCGCCTTTTATTTCTTCATTATCTGTTAAAAAAAAAAAACAGTAAGCTAAACAACTTTTATTTCCATTTCTTTCTGTTTTTGTATTTCACCTATGGGTTTCACGTTTCCCCCAAAAAAAAGTTAAAGTAAATTTTACTACCATATACCCAGGCAAACCGCTCTAGTCATTCTCATCTATTGCTTGAAATTCATTTTCTATTTTAATACCATAATCATTTTCTTTTAATTGCTCCTGGTTTAGTTGCGCCATTATGCCATTCTTAACGGTGTATGCTTTGCTAGTGGTGGGCTCCAATGTTTCGATAGTTAAGTCGTCTTCTATTTTAATACCATACTGATTTTCTTTTACTTGCTTCTGTTTTGGCTGCACCATTATACCATTCTCAAAGTTATGAGCTTTGCTAGTAGTGGGCTCCAACGTTTCGATAGCTAGGTCGGCTTCTATTTTAATGTCATACTGATTTTCTTTTGTTTGCTCCTGTTTTGGCTTCACCATTATGCCATTCTTAACGTTTTGTGCTTTGCTAATAGTGGGCTCTAATGTTTCGAGAGTCGAGTCGTCTTCTGATTCTTCTATTTCCTCGATTACGCCGCATTCCTCATTGTTTTTAGCCCTGTGGGTTTCATGTTAAGCGTCGATATAGGAATCTTCGAAATCAAACTATGTTAACTTACCTGCGACGTTCTCCTCCATGAGTTTTTTTATGCATCTTGTAACTATACCGATCGGGAAAATTCTTGCCGCACCTGCTGCATACAATTGGCGTTTCAGAATAGTGCTGCTTTTTTACGTGTCTCCGCAGGACCGCTTTAAGACCGCAGGTAGTTGGACATAATGCACAGTAGAAGACAGGTCTGTCGTCCACGTTGTGTATAAGTTTATGACACTTAAGTGTGTTGGACTGCGCGAACCGCGCATGACACATATCACATTCGTAGGGTCTCTCACCAGTGTGTGTGCGCAAATGTCGTTGCAGTTTAAAGTTGTCTGGCGAGGCGTAGCTGCAATGAGGACACTTGTGTGGACGTTCACCAGTGTGCGAACGCATATGACGCTGTAACTTACTGATTTCTACGGAAGAATAGTCACATTCACTACACTCATGACGCTTTGCAAAACTATGCTTGTATCGAACGTGCCTGGCCAAGTCTCCAGATCTGATAAAGCGACTGTCACACGACAAGCACGCAAATGGCTTATTTCTCTGATGTGCATTCATATGATCCTGTAATTTGTTTTTGTTCTTGAAGACACGACCACATATTGAACAAGCGTGAGAACAATCGTCGGAATGAGATTTCATATGGCGAGATAACATGTATTGTTCACTTGTTTGGAAATTACAATGTGAGCAGTTAAGAACGGCCGATTGAGAAGAATCTGTAGCTTTAATAGTCATGACCTTCAATAATGGCATATCCTGACCTTCTTGCGATTTAAGTTCATCCCCCAGCTCGTCTAACTCATGTGTTTCATCATTTGCTTCAGTGGGAGATGGATCATCGACGTTTTGTTCTGATTTAGTTTCTGCCTTTGGATTCTTAAAATCTATCCTATAATTATCCGGAATAGAATCATTATTTAATGTTGCAGGCGTCGTACAAATAACTGCAAAGAAAAAAATAATTGTGAGGCAATTATGTATTAATTCAATGACAGCATAAGCAGGGTGAGTACCCTTGCGCTTTGGTGGTCGTCCTAATTCGGGTTGTATGGGTTGTATAATTTGTTTTTGCCTACGTGCAGCTTCTGAAGTCTTATCTTCAACTGGAATACAATTTGTTGATCCTTGCTTAGCACCATCTAGTTCATCGGACAGACAGCGCGTAATTTCCGTACGTGTCGAACGCTCTAGTGCATCCATTTCTTGAACTTTACTATCTCCATCAACCGTTTCAGACATTTTAGCCTTAGTTTTACGATGATCTTTTGAGTTTACTATTGACTGGTGGTACTCCAAAGGAATCAGCTCATTTGATGATACTAGAAGTGGGTAACTCAGCACTGTGCTGAGTTACTGTGCTGACTCTCAGAACTGTGCCGCACACTCAGACTCACCTCTGACAAAATTTGTAACTCAGTAACTCAGTTTATGTGCTGACAATGTATAGCTCAGTGTGCTTCAGAGTCGATATGGTAACTCAGTTGATGTGCTGACACTTGCATAGCTCGGTTCGGCTGCATTGTTTAGAACTGTGTCGATGTGGTAACTCAATTGATGAGCTGAAACATTCCACAATACGATCTTCCAAAAAGTACCATAATAGATGGCATCACGAGTCTAACCATCAATTGAATATACGACTACCAAATTTAACAAGAAGCAAGGCGAATAGCCCAGTTATGCATACTTGCACTGCTATACCATTTTTACGTAAAAATCAAAACCAAACAGAATTCTACATGTGAAGTGCTATGCGTTGGGTAACCGCTTACATGCATAGCCCATTTAACAGATTCTTATGTGACAACTCTCAAGCAAAACTAAGTAGGGAATTAATTCGCAAATGAACTCACCAGTTGAAATCAGCTTTCTAAAATTTTGCCGGCCAGCTACGAATAGAAGCTAAGGATAACCTTTTCTAAATCGATTTCGATTACTAACATCGTCAATAATTTCGATGCACATACCAATTGTGCGATAGCACACTTGTGCCAGCTCTCTGTGCTGACTCATTAAAGTGAGTTGGAGTTACTGAGTCAGCACACCGAAATTTACAGAGTTACCCACCCTTAGATGATACAAAAACGAAGGTTTTTCCAAGTAGATGTGCAAACGATGCATCGATATTTTTGAAACATCGATAACATCGGTTCGAAATTCGATGTTCTCGCTCGCGTTCTGCTTTTTTCTATCGTACAGTTTCATTATTTTACATCCAAGTACAAGTTACATCCAAGCTTTTATATTAAAATAATAATTATGTTGCAGCCACGAAGTTTTCGTGCAAATGAAAATGTAGCCGTCGAACTACTAAATTGCCGGCAATAGATGGCAAGATATAAGCTCTGATATATATTGCTCTTGAAGAGCAATGAGCGGTCTCCATTGGCTATTTATATTCTAACATATGTATCAAGATATAAATTTTTCTTTTTTTTTTATTATTGAATCATGAGTAGGCTTAAAGTCACAAAACCGGCACCCTTTGCCAATGTCTGGTCAGAACATAGTATTAGAGGGTTAAGCATGAACCACTTTACTTGACTTTTAACAAAAATCTATCAAAATGAAAAAAATACCTCTTTACCAACTTTTTCTACCAATTATAGGAATAATTTACCAAAGTGGCATCCCTGGTTACGCGATCAAGCGCTTGCTTTCAAGTTTCACCCAGTTGAAAAAAAAGAGTGACTAGGTTCATTCCTCTACAATCCGGACCGGATCTGGTAAGTAGAGTAAGCGAAAAATTTTCTCTCAAAAATGGTAAAATGTGCAAACCCACGGGAACGCAAAAAACCAACTTCTGACATCAACACATTGACGCGACGGAGACCAGGACAACAATAGCCCAACTTCGCTCTGGCTACTGCAGCAGGCTAAATTCCTACCCGAGTAGGTTAAATGCGGATGTGCCGAACGAATGTCCGGCATGCGGAGAGAACGCTCACGACTCGAAACATCTCTTCGCATGCTCGGAAAACCCCACAACCCTAACGGCGTCGTCCCTATGGACCGACCCCATAGAGGCTGCACGCTTCTTGGGGCTGCCGTTAGTGGAACTCGACGGCAACGACTGAGATATCAGCCGATCTGGGCGGGGTTGTTGTAGCCGCTACAACAACAAAAACAACAACGCAAAAAACCACACTTCGTGCCCAGATTTTGAGAAATGCAAACACTTGTAAATTGAATTTTAGTTTAAAAAATTTTATTGTATTCGACGGTAGAATACATTGGATAACGAATGCTCCGTTACGCTGGAGAATGGGCAAGTTATCGAGCCGAAGACCACCCTCTTACCCCATTCATTATCGAAGGAGAGTTTAGGATAGTTTTTAACCGGGTGTTGAAATGACATCTACCTCTTCTTTATGTGGTGTAAAAATTTCATAGCTGTACCAATTACTTTGAACAAAATATGTATTAATTTTTAATATGGGAGTATATTCTTGAGAGCTGCATACAGGCGTTAAGGCAGCCGAATGTCAGAAAATAAAGCGAGAAGGCTGTTTTATTACTTCACCTGTTTATTGCGCCATGGAATAGGGCCATTCAAATTTAAGAGCCTTATAAATTTAAAATTGATTGGGGCATGAAATCTGAATATTGATTGAATATTCCCGTGTTTTGCACAAAGTTTAGAGATTTCATATTTATGATTGTTGGTGTAGTATGAACTAAATTTTTATAAAAAAATATCGAAAAGAAATAAGAATGAAAAAACTTTGCATATATTGCGAAAAATTCTCTGTACCAATACTTTTGTTCGTCACCGTACATATGGATACTTATGTATGCACATACATGTACTTCAAAGCAGCTAAAAATAAAGTAGAACTTCTTAAATACATTAATTTTCTTCGACTATGTTCAGAAAAACAGCTTCCTCAAATTCATCATCATCTTCGCCTTCTTCGAGCTATATTTGAAATACACAAAAGAAAAAACAACATATTAAATCTCTGTTTTTTTACGGTCAATGATGGTACCATATTTTACCTTGAAGCCGAAACAATTTGCAGCATCCCCCTTGTTTTCATTATTATCTGTAGAAAATAAGAATAAACAAAAATGTTGTATTTACGATAATTTCTGATTTTAAATATATACATTGCAGTAGTGTATTTTACCTGTCGGTTTTACGTTTTCCAAGTTAGTTAAAATAACACAATCATCACCGTCATCCTCTAATTCATCGTCACTTTGCATTACTTTTACGACCATATAACCAGGCAAACCACTCTCGTCATCCTCATCTATTGCTTCAAATTCATTTTCTATTTTTATACCATACTTATTTTCTTTTACTTGCTCCTGTTTTGGTTTCACTATTTTGGCACTCCTTACGTTGTGTGATTTGCTAGTAGTGGGCTCCAATGTTTCTATAGTTATGTCGCCTTCTGCTTCTTCTATTTCCTCGATTATTTCATACTCTTCAAAGTTTTCAACGCTGTTTGTTTCATCTTCCTCGTCGATATAGGAATCTTCGAAATTTAATATATTTTCCCCGTGCTCGGTTTCAACTTTAACTTTTATTTCATTCTTGCCTTTCTCCTCAGCAACATCATGCAACTGCATGTGCCGTACCATATTACCCTTATGGGCAAATACACGCGTACAATATGGACAGTGATGTGTCTTCTCAAGCCTTGGAGGTGGTACGTAATTTTCATTGTGATAAATATTTATATGACGCCCAAGTAGCTGCTTCTGTCGGAAGGTTTGTCCACATTTATCACACTCAAATGGCTTTTCATCGCTGTGAATTTGTTTATGCATTTCCAGATTTCGCGTGGAAATCGATTTGTAGTGGCACTGGTCACAACTAATTGATGTAGAAAGAAATGTTCCATTATTGATAGCATACCAAAGATAAAAAAAAACAGGTAAGAAAGTCTAAGTTCGGGCGGAGCCGAACATTAAATACCCGGCACAAGTATTAAATATATGATTTCCACCTTCCCGAAAACTACCGCTACATGGTAAGCCCCTATTTTAAAAACCTTCGATAGAACGTTCAGTTAGACATAATGAGATAAACTTACATATCGCTAGCTTAGAAAGAAAAGTTGCTAAGTCCCATTTTAAAAATTTTACAGGAGAGTAAAAAATCTTCCTATAGCCATTTTCTTTTACTATTTCGCAAGACTTTGAATCAAACATTTTGCGCGTTTAAAGCAAAGCAAAACTCCATAAGGATGAGAAGGATTCGATATTTATTAAAAGATGTCGTATTATTTTGGCCTTATCGGATTTGTGGTGCTTCTTTTGGAGTTAGCAAATTTTCCTTTTATTGCTTATGAAGAGGAAAAAATAAAACAAGTACTTCTATAATTTTTGAAACGATGCGTATTCAATTTCTTTAGCCTCCTATATCAAAATATGAGTTTTCATAAAAAGTGGACTTAGCAACTTTTCACTCTAAGCTAGCGATATGTATATAGTCATATGTGGGCAATATCACGCGCATTTCCCGAAATTCCAAACAATGTTACTTCTTTTCAAGGGATTGTTTTTAGTATCAATTTTGAGTAAATTAGCGTCGTTAAATTTCGAAATATGGAAGTTTAAAGCAATTAGCTTTAATATTTACTTGGTATGTCGTACCAAGGCCAACAACTGTGCCAAGTTTGGAAAAATTGGGGCAGCAGTTACGCCCATTTTCCAAAAATGTATAATAATCTTATTTTTCGTCTAAAAATTATTGTAGTTATCAATTTTGAATGAATAATTTTCAGTAGTTACTAAAATGTCGCAGTTTTCGTATTTCTAAATATTACCGTTATATGGGAGGTAGGCGTGGTTATTGTCCGATTTTGCCCATTTTCAATACCATCCTGTTACAGACAACCGTTATGTGAGCAAAGTTATAATACCCTAGTGCACAAGTGCGCTCGGGTATAAAAACTACGGCAACTTACCTGTAACAACGTTCTCCTTCATGAGTTTTAACATGCATCTTGTAGCTATACCGATCGGGCAAATCCTTGCCGCACCTTTTACATATAATTGGCGTATCAGAATAGTGCAGCTTTTGTACGTGAATCCGCAGGTCCGATTTACGGCTGCATGTCGTTGGACATAGCGCACACTGGAAGACGGGCTTGTCATCCACGCTGTGTATAAGTTTGTGAGCCTTAAGTGAGTTCGATTGTGTAAACCGGGATTGGCAGATATCACATTCGTAGGGTTTCTCGCCGGTGTGTGTGCGCAAATGTCGTTTCAGTTTAAAACTGTCCGGCGAAGCGTAGGTGCAATGAGGGCACTGGTATGGACGTTCACCAGTGTGCGCACGAATGTGGCGCCGTAACTTACTCATTTCGACGGTAGCATAATCACACTCAGTGCACTTATGACGCTTTTCGAAGGTATGCTTGTATCGAACGTGCCTGGCCAAGTCTCCAGCTGTGGTAAAGCGACTCTCACACGACAAACACGGATGCGGCTTATTTCCTAGATGCACATTCCTATGATTTTGTAATGTGATATTCGTCTTGAAGCCACGATCGCACATTGAACAAATGTACGGACGGTCGTCCGAATGGGATCTCATATGGCGGGATAACATGTATCGTTTATGTGTTCGATAAATACAATGTGGGCACTTATGCGTAATCGTTTGAACAGAATCTGTTGCTTTAACAGGTATGACTTTCGTTAACAACATCTCCTGACCTTCTTGCGATCCAGTTGGTTCCTCCAGCTCATCGAACTCATAGATTTCATCATTTGGATCATCGACGTCTTCTTCCGATTTAGCTTTTACCTTTGAATTTTTTAAATATACCATATAGTTTTTGGAAACAGAATCATTGTTTACCTGTCCATCCTTCGTGCATTTAGCTGCAAAGAAATATGGAATTATTATGTACCTATTAATTTAATGATGGCATAAAAGACTCACCCTTGCGCTTTGGTTCGGCTTCTAATTCAGGTTGAACAATTCTTTTTTGACTACATGCAGTATCTGAAGTATTTTCCGAGTTCAACGTTAGGTATATATTTCCACCTTCATCCAAGTAGTATAGGTTATTTTCCATTTCGGCAGAATTAACAGCTTCATCTGGATTGATTTTTGGTGATTCCTGCTTAGCAGTATCTAGTTCATCAGACAGACAAAGCGTAATTTCCTTGTGTATAGAATGCATTAAAGCATCTAAATCCTGAGCTTCGCTATCTCCATCAACTGATTCAGACATTTTAGACGGTTATATTTATGTTGATCTCTTGAATTATTTCTTCACAGAGGTCGCTTATAATTTGGCAGACGTTAACGCCTACCGAAGACTGTGAACCGTCTTTTCGAGCGACACTCAGCGGGGAACAGCGCAGAGCCGCGACGCTTCACGACGAATGGTGTAGAGAACTTATGAAGTATCTATCAAATATTTGATATTGAATAATTTTATACTGAACGCGTTCTCTTGCAAATCCTCTACGGAAAATCCTTGCGGTTTCAATAATTATACTATTAGCACTTTAAAGCCTCGTATAAAATTTTACACACCTTCGATTTTTGCCGTCAGAGGAGAAATGAGTTTTCGCTTTTCATTCGCAGCTGTTGTAAAACTTCAATAAAAGATGGCGTATGAATAGCCGTCGTACTGTAGCGTGTGAATAGCTCTTGCAGGGCTGCACAGAGCGTAAGTAATATCTTTTCGAATAATAATACTCTAAACGTTAAAAATCTACTTAATAGCTTTAAGAATACTGATAAAATTGTAATCCTGCATTTGTCTAACATTTAGCGAAATTATAAAACGAAAAAAATGAACATAACATATTTTAGACAATTTTGCAACGATCTACTACTTTTTTTTTACAAAATTGTACTAGAGTATACACACGGAGATTTGTGTGTATGCAATTGTTGTTGTCAGCTGTGAACAGCGGTTCAATTTACACAGGCGAACGAGAGCACAAAGCATGTTGCCCGAGCACGAGCAACTCGGTGCCCCTCTCCTTTCCTCGTCCCGCTCTCTCCTACAAACGTCGAGTTGTGGCAAAAATCGCCGTGTGTAGATGAGCACTAGGTAAAGTAACTCTTCTTAAGCTGAAATTAGTCGAGAACGCAGAACGTATACTTAAACGCAGTCTGTATACGCAGAATTTTGTCGATTACTGGAGTCCTCAGTGTTGCTTACTACACTGTTGCCACTCATCAATGCCTTTTCATAAACTTACCCTTTCAACTACAATTTTTCGTGCTATAATAGATTTTAGCTAAATATAAACTACTTAGTTTTCAACAAAAACCTTATTCAATAGCAAATTTCAAATATTTTAAACATATTTTGAATAGGAACTTATATCTTTTTTACCATCTGTAAAACTGACGAAGTGGCAACCATCTAATGAAGGAGAAATCAGCTGACACGGAAAAATCTAAATTCCGCAGATTTCTGCGCTACGGGCTACAACTACTGAAAAATTCTGCGGTGTTGAGTTTTCATTTACATGGTGCTCTGGTAAGACAGATCGTGTCAGCTGACTCGGGTTTACGTACCGGTAGGTTTACGTTCTTGACTAATTTCAACTTTACCATTTTCTCCGGCAGGCTGTAGGTGTGTTTTTGGTTAGTGTGTTGGTGTTTTTGGTTCAGTGTGTTAGTGTATTTTGAATAAATTGTAATAGAAATATAAGAAATTGTAATAGAAATGAAAGAAATTGTAAAAGATAAGAGCACATGCCAAAAAACAGGTGATCTCAGCTGTACGATGATCCTGACTCACGAACGAGAGATACATGTTCTGAACACATTGAAAACGACGAGCTACGGGCCACAGCTTCCAATTTGCTATCTTCATTATCTAAACGCTTTGTCGATGAGGACATGATTTTAGACTTAGTGTATTGGTGTTTTTGGTTCAGAGTGTTAGTGTATTTTGAATAAATTGTAATAGAAATAAAAGAAATTGGAAAAGATAAGAGCGCATGCCAAAAAACAGGTGATCTCAGGTATAGGTATTTTTTGGCAATCAGCTGATAGTTAGAAAATAAGTTTTTTCTTTCTTTCCTTCCCGCGTGATCTTGTTAGCCTGAACACACAATGAATGAAGCTACGGACCACAGCTGTCAAATTATTTTAACACGTACTCTTATGTAGATAATTATTTAGGCGACGACTGGGCTACGCGACGACTGTGGTTGTGACCAGATTAGATCTATTTTTATTTTTCCAGCGACAGATAAGGTTCTTCCTCTTCTTTTATGTCAAACTCATACAAATTCATGTTATCGCTGTCGCGTAAAAAAGGTTCAGACGGAGAAACTTGTGGTAGAGGGGGAGACGAGGAAGAGGGAAGCGCACCGAGTTGCTCGTGCTCTCATTCGTCTGAGTAATTCTAGTTGGCCATTCACAGCTGACAACAAAAATTGTGTACAAAAGAATTTCTCTGTGTGAACGCAAAGGGCACTACCAAAAGAGAAATTGCCGAAAATGAGCAACGAAAGTTTCTCTGTGTTAACCTTGTCTAACCAAAAATACACCTACAGCCATACAAAACGGTAAGAAGAAGAGTTACTTTACTTAGTCAAGGTTCAGACGGGGAAACTTTTGTAGCGGCAACTCGTTACTTGTGGGAGAGGTGGAGACGAGGAAGGGGGAAGGGCACCGAGTTGCTTGTGCTCGGGCAACACGCTTTGTGCTCTCGTTCGTCTGAGTAATTCTAGTTGGCCGTTCACAGCTGACAACAACAACTGTGTACAAAAGAATTTCTCTGTGTGAACGCGAAGGGCAACACCAAAAGAGAAATTGCCGAAAATGAGCAAAAAAGTTTCTCTGTGTGAACCTAGTCTCATGGAACTCTACGATGCTTGAGACTTGCATTGCGATACCTGCATATAGAAAACAAAATTAGTGATGTCAGTGGAAAAAATACATCGATGTTTTTTCTTTGATTCGATGCATCGAAATGTACCTACATCGATATTTTTCGATGCATCGAAGGGCATACCCCGATTTGCATAGCAGGTTTGTATACGGTTCAAATATGTATTGAATTTAATTCTGCTCGCATGTGGAAGAGAGGGAGTGAGAAGAAAATGGACGAGAACACACGCGTCTGTACCGTCAAGTCTTTTCAACTTTCTTGCTTTGGTTATGAAATTTTCGTTGTTTCCCATTTAAAGAACCAAAAACTTGAAGTCAACAGAATTGAAGCGTGTAAAAGCAAATATAAAACACAAAAGAAAATGAACTAGAATTGCTTTAAGTACTTGAATCATGTAAATCGGGTTTAATGAAATTTGAAAACAAGTAATTTTTAAGCAAAAAAGAAAACCAAGGACCAAGGACTGTCACTCCAGCAACACTCCCCAAAATCCCTTTGTGGAACTTGTATGCTGCTACAACAACAACAACAACAACCGACTTCAATTCTCATATAAAAAATTAAGAGTACCGTTAATTTTTTCATGATCCAACGATCGGATCTAAAGATTAGTACCTTTCCGATGCAAAAATAATTATCTAAATCGGTTGACGTGGTGCAAAGTTATTCGGTAACGTACCTAAAAAAAAATATTCCGACGAATTGATAACATCCTCCTTTTTTTGAAGTCGGTTAAAAACTAATTTGAATATCTTTTTGGAACCTTACTATGGTGTTAGTGCTTCTGCGTCGATGGAAGAAACTGTTGATATAAGCCAGGGTTTGTCAAATTTTGGGTATGCTTTTATTTGCTTTTAATACATTGACTGGATATATATTCATGTAGAAGTCGGGGTATGGTTCGGCTATTTGTAAAATGATTTGGGTTCTTTTAACCTACGCTTGAAATATGGACTTTTCCGTAAATTTTGGAGTGAGTTCTATGCAAAAATACTGTGGCGCAGCCGGAGTTGACTGATGAAAGTTTCGTGTAATACATACAGTTTTCTTTACGTTTCCAAGCGATTTGTTTTTCTACGATTGGGGATTTTAGGTTTTAATATTATCGGTTACAATATTTAAAAAATCGAAGAGAAAGGACAAAGTTACTGAAAATCGCTAGATAACAATTAGCTAATTCTTCAGAAACTAAACAAAACTAAAAACTTTATATAAATAGCTTCGTCAACGCATTTTAAAATTATCCGATACTATCGATAGTATTGATAATTTCAATGCAAACCATGCAAACTATCGAAAACATCGAATGGGATGACTATCGATAGTTTTACAGCTCTACTCAGTGTACTACAGATGTCAGTTTTGAAAAAACATCAATACATCGACCATTTATACATCGAGTGGAAAAATGTCGATGCCACGAAGCTAAGCATCGATATTCTCGGTGCATCGATGTTTTTCCGACATCCCTAAAGAAAACCAGCCTAATTTTTTCAACACCCGGCCGTTTTCCGTTTTTCCCGCGCGTGCAGACATAACGTTGAAATTTTGGAAACATCTGAAGTGCAGTCTATTAGAATCAACAGAAGAAAGTATATGTTTGGCCATAATACGAAAAGATCAGCAGAAACCGTCATTAAAATCAAGGCGCAAAAGTTAAATTTTACTAATTCCATCCGGATGATAGCCGGCGTGTCATCCTAGTGAAATTCGTAAAAAGGCTAAAAAATTGTAAGTGTATTAGACTCAGTAAATTTGAATTACACATGGTGGTATGTATATCTATCACCGCCGACAATTTTATAATCGTGTCTAACCTTTAATGCTAATTTATCTGTTTTTAAGAGTTTCACCGCACACTGTTTCTGCGGATAGTGCAACCATACAAGCAGTAAATTTCTCAAATTTCATTTAATAATAATTAAGAATATGCCGCGAATTGCCGTACGCAGAAAGGCTCCTACCCCCTCAAATAGTAGCAGCAACAACAATGAGGANGAGAACTTATGAAGTATCTATCAAATATTTGATATTGAATAATTTTATACTGAACGCGTTCTCTTGCAAATCTTCTACGGAAAATCCTTGCGGTTTCAATAATTATACTATTAGCACTTTAAAGCCTCGTATAAAATTTTACACACCTTCGATTTTTGCCGTCAGAGGAGAAATAAGTTTTCGGTTTTCATTTGCAGCTGTTGTAAAACTTCAATAAAAGATGGCGTATGAATAGCCTTAGTACTGTAGCGTGTGAATAGCTCTTGCAGGGCTGCACAGAGCGTAAGTAATAATTTTTCGAAAAATACTACTCTAAACATTAAAAATCTACGTAATAGCTTTAAGAATACTGATAAAATTGTAATCCTGCATTTGTCTAACATTTAGCGAAATTATAAAACGAAAAAAATGAACATAAAATATTTTAGACAATTTTGCAATGATCTACTACTTTTTTTTACAAAATTGTACTAGAGTATTTGCTAAACACCATCCTGGCATCCTGACCCATCGTACAGTTCCATAAGTAAAGTAACTCTTCTTCTTACCGTTTTTTCTGGCAGGCTGTAGGTGTGTGTTTGGCAGGCTCTAGGTGTGTTTTTGTTTAGTGTATTGGTGTTTTTGGTTCAGTGTGGTAGTGCATTTTGAATAAATTGTAATAGAAATAAAAGAAATTGTAATAGAAATGAAAGAAATTGTAAAAGATAGGAGCACATGCCAAAAAACAGGTGATCTCAGCTGTAGGCATTTTCTGCCAATC